CCATCAAAATATGGAATTATATAAATTTATTAAACACAAACAGACTACCTACATACTTCAGATACATGACCACTTCACATTTTAAAACGTTTTTACCACATTATCTTTACAACTATTATCGAGACCCTAACTGTTAAGCTTATTAGGCTAGTGTGTGCAAGTGTGCACGACGTCGCGTCCTATATACATATTTATTAATACACAGTATGTTAAAGAGATAATACAAACAAACGTGGTGAGACTCTGGTGAGCCGAAGCTCCCCAGAATAGGATTAAAAGCTAAATAAAAATAGGTCGCAGTGGTGGATGGGCTGTGGCGATCCCGGCGATGGGGAGGAGTGCTTTTGTACCCCAAGGGTCAGGGATCGAAAGTTTAACGAGGGTAGGGTGTCCAAAGTTTGAACCAGGGACAGGGGCAATGCGTCGTAGTAACGCAGTTGTTCTTTAACCTACTTTTAACAAAAAGCATTAATCATTATTTGATCTACTACATGACACTATCTTTCCTACTACCATACACCAAACTCCATCCTTTCCGCCTTAAATCGCAAGGTATTCAGCAACGCTGGACTTCCATGGATTAGCATGGTCCACTACTTCACAAGGTAAAATTCGGCCTACTTATGACCGCATAACACCACTTTACAGCTCCAACCTTCTTGTCAACCCTGCTCGGGATAACCAATTTTGGCTGGCCTTCTAAAGCCCTTCCTTTTCATTCTATTATTAAACGCCGCAAAAACACGTAGCACAAATATGGCCCCTAGATAAAGTACGGATTACAGATAATGTATGGATTTTGAACAGATAACGCATAGAAAACTATGCAGAGACTGATGCGGATAGCTCTCTTCAACCCATACAAAGTCTGAACGCTTTACACTTTTTGGGAGTATGGAATAAACAAATCCATATGAAAAATATGTCTAACCTAAATTTTGATTTTCTTTTGCGCCATGACTTAGAACACTTCAAAAATATTTTTAGCAAAGTGGCTATTTCGCTTGCCGGATAAGCTGCGAGGCTGTAATTTTGTAGAGACATTCTGTATTCACGTGTGGTCTAAACACAGCCTAATCGGTAAATTCCCTTCACGCAGGCACTTGGGATACGAATATGCCCCCAAAATTTCAGCCTCCCAACTTTCGTAGTTGCTGAGTTGAAAGCGGGTGACAAAGTTCGCTCGCATTCAAACATATGTACACACACACACACACACACATACATACACACACATACATACATACATACATACATACAACGACCAACGACCTCTCGACAGTTTGCGTTTTGTTGACTGCAGTAACGCTATAGCAAAAACGCATAAAAAACGGAACATATGCAAAAGCGCTAGGAAATTAAACATGCGCGCATGAGCAGATCATAAAATAATTTGCAAAATAAAATACAAAGAAAGAGAAAATACAATTTATGAAATATTTAATAATAAAAAGCCGTGGGCTTACTTGTGATTGAGCCGGTCGGTGTGCTAGCCAACGATACTTGCTGTAGCTGTGTATTCTCCTTTTTGTAGAATGCTTCCAATTCATCCAGCTCACGAGCAAATTCAGCTTCCAGGGCCTGTTAAGAAACCGATATACCAACCCTCCACCGATGTATACGTGCTTTAGTTTTATAAAAAAAAAAAATAACACAGTGTGGATGTTTATGAAAAAATTTTTTCCATTTCCAGAAAAAGTTTTTTCTCCATTTCCGGAAAACTCGT